TAACATTCTTAACCAACAACCCTTACAATCCTGCCTATACTCCATTTATTGACCAATTTCCTATTGAAATCCCCATTTGATGCTCCATTTATACTATCTGTCAAGTCCACATCATGACAATTTGGACATTCCAACATCGTTTCCAACAATGGTCTACTATTGTTCCTAATATTAACTGGGAAGCCACTTGGCTTTACATCAATAATAATCAAAAGGTTTCTAACTTTGCTTATAGTTTCCATTCCACTATTCTCAAAACCTTTCATGTTAAAATTCTTTTAGATGAATTACCTGTTCCTTATACTCTTCACAAACATAACTTCTTGTATTCTCCTCTCTGTCATCAATGTAATCAAACTAGCTTTTCATTACTCTGGACTGTTTGTCCTTCTGCTCAAAGAATTTATCACTTAATTTTTAATTCTCTTCATTGCATCTTAAATGCTACTGCTCTTAACATGTCCTCTAATCTTGTTTCTAATTTACATCAAGAAATTCTTACACTTAACTGTTTTAAACTGCACAACTTTTTCATATACCATCCCTTATCTCTACTTTATCTGGCTTAGTTCCTATTGACCTTATTTCTGCTATTCACAATACTTCTATTTCTTACTGTATAGCTATCTTACTTTCTATTAAATTTCTTCTTCATTTAAACCAACAAATATACAAACAAATATGGATTCCATATTGTATTTCATGATCAGCATAGTCTTCAACTATACCTTTTACAAACTCAATTCATAATTCTTCTTCTAGTCTATTATTACCTCCTAACTCAATATCATAAATTATTACTAAAATTGATCTTTGGACTATCCAATAGATTAAATATCATACTCCTCTCTCATATATTATTACTAACACCTAAATCTAGGTGAGCCCTAGCCATTCTTGTAGGTTTAGCTTGCAGATTATATGTCTGAGCTTTTATTCTTATATGTAATTTAAAAGCAAGCTTTTCTTTGTAAATCTTCAATTGAATTTCAATAAAGTTAAAGGCATGGCCTCATCATTAATATTTAAAAAAAAAAAATTATTAATTAATATTAAGTTTGCTAGCAATGTTTAGACCACTTCTAGAAGGTATATGTATATTTTTAGTTATATTATTCAAGTTTTTAACTTGGACAATGTTTTTTCTTCTCCAATAAATTCTAAACATTTCACGAATTAAATATACCAATTTCTTCAATAATTTGCATCTTTTAAGTTCAGATTTATTAGTTCCTAAAATGTATCACTTTAGGAGATTTGATACTACATTTTTATCAATAAATTTTTTTATATCTTCATTTGATAATGAAGTAATAGTTATGCCTTCTCTAAAAAGAAAATATTAATTCAAATTTAAAGTTAATTATTAAATATATTTTTTTTATACTTTTCTCAAGTTTTCTTAAAATTATCAATAAGTTCTACAACTAATAGATTTAATTTGTAATAAAAATTACCCAAAGCCTTTTTTGTTTTAGTTTCAATTTCTTTTCCTTCATTTGAATATAGAGAATATTCAAAAATCCTTTTAATAAATTCATTGATACATGTTAATAGAGGATTTCTCATTTGAAGGAAAAGACATTTGATCTCTTCATCAAAAAAAAACTAGTTATTTTTTTTAAAAATACAAAATACTATAATTTATACAATTTTTGGTATTTATATCATAGAAATATATAAATTAAATCTATAATTAAGATAATTTTGTGATTCTATAATGTGAATAACAAAAACTTTATGTAAATTATAGGATTCTTTCTAAATTATTATTATAAAAATATGATATATAATATACCCTATTATTAATAGTATTTGCAAAACTCATAGCTAAGGAATTAAAAGGTTTGCCAAATTTACTTGCATGTATAACTGGTAATCAAGAGGCTGTATGCATCTGGCTGGCTAATTTTAATATATGTGGATGCTTAATTAGCCAATTATACACTTTTAAGACATTATTCATATTATTATATGTTGCCAGAATTTGGTTAACTTCTTTTATTTAATCAATTTCTTGCATTTGATCAATGTTTTGTTCTTGTAAATTACCTATTTTAAAATAGTTTTAAGTTATTAAATTATTAAATTATAATTGTCAGTAAATAAGTACCAGAAAGAAAATTATTAAAATAATCATAGTTTTCTCTTAGAGAAGCTATTAAAAAATTTAACTATTATCCAAATAAAAAAATAACAATTAATCAAAAAAAATAATTATATCTTAACAAATTAATGACTCTTTATTATCATTTTGTATATCTTCTAAAATTTTTAAAATATCTTCTTGAGATGTTAATTTATTTTCATCTTTAAAAGTATTATTATTTGCTTAAGAAGTTATTTCTCTCAAAGTATTTTTTTTTGAAGAAGGTTTAGAAGAACAGTCTAATCAAAAATTAAAATTAAAAAAAAAATTTAAAATAATCATAACATTCAAATTTCTATACTTTGTTTTGCTTTTACTAAAGCAGTTTTTTGCTTAGATGTTGAAGATTCAGCTATTTGCTTATTTTTTAAAAATGATTTATAAGAACAGCCTTATTTTGGTATTGTAGAAGAGTTGTTTTGCATTTTTATGAAAATAATCAAATTAATTTAAAATATCTTATTTATATAAATTTTGTTTACAATTATAGAATATCTTATAATTAAATTTCAAAACAATTTAGAATGATACTAAATAAACTATATAAAAAATTTAAACTTTTACTTATAAACTTTAGGCTTATAATATTTATTATTGTTTAAACTTTATAAAATTGATACTTTATAACATATTTTATAGTTTAATTTTTTTTTTTTTATTTATATAATGTTCAAGTAGAAACTTTTTACATGTAGAATTATAAGTTCTAAAATTAAAGATTTCTAAACTACATTTGTGCTACAAATTGGCATCCAATGTGACATTACAC